CCCGAGCCACAACATCACCATCAGCATTAGACACAACCTCCAAATGCTCGAGTCCCAACTGCCGCTTGATCAGCTCGACATTCTCCACGAGCACTTCTATCTCGCCAAATGGCAGCTTCAGATCCAGCGCCTGAACCCCAACAGCCTTAACCTCGTCTTTCTTGAACCTCAAAAACGGCATGCACAGCTTTTGTATCTGCTTGAAATTGCCTGATTGCCCGACATCACTCTTTGCCAGTTCGGAAAGTATTTCCTGGTCGGGCGCAAAAGTACACGTGGCAGAATCGAATTTCCTCTTGAGAATGTTCAGACATTCTTTTTTCCACCCATCATACTGCTCGTTCACGAATATCAATCCAGTCGTGGGCTTAACACTCTGGGCAGCATTAGTGGGACCCGTTTTCCCACCTTTCTTCGAGCCCGTGGCCTGCTTCTGCAAAAGCTTCCTCATAGAGACAATAGTATCCTGCAGATATTTATTTGCCTTTTTTAGAGTCAAATCCGGCGAATCAGCCTCAGGCCAGCCGGCTTTCACCACATAGCCACCTTTCTTCAACAGCTCCTTCCACACATGTTCGGCGTAATGAGGGCAGATAGGAGCAATAAGCCTCGTTTGGATGTCCATGAACCTCCACAGCAAGTCTCGGTTCATACCCCCGGCCCCACACGACAGCCTGTACTCGTCCCTCGCCGCCTGGAGATCGTAAAAACCGCTCTTCAAAGCTTCCCTGAACATATAATCGCTGAAATTCTTTTCGGTCGATTTGACAGCTATATTCATCTCGTTAGCGAACACACGATCAGCGTACGTTGTTGGAGGCGTGTTCCTTAGAGACGACTCGGCGGCAATAACTTCCTCCATCCACGAAATCTCTTTCGTGAGGCGTAAAATGGCGGCATTTGCCGTCTCGAATACGAAATTGGCATCATCCATGCCGTCACCAGCGTCAGCAAGCGAAAACCGAGTGGCATCGGCAGAGAACTCCTCGATGGCCTGGCGGAGGGTCCTGAAATTCCCGGTCGATTTCGACATTTTCTCGGAATTGAGCATGATGTGGCCGTTGCACCTAAATCCTTTCGGCCAGTGATGCTTGGGCATGATGGCCGCGTGATTGTATATACAGAACGTGAGGTGGTTCTGAATGAGGTCCTTTCCAGATACCCTTAAATCAAACGGGTACCAATACTCAAACTCTTGCTTCATCTTATTGAGAAGGGTCGCGGGCAAATCAGAGGATTTGGGATATGGGCCGTCAACAAATAAGAAATCCCAGACCTCATCTGTTAGCTGCTCGGGTTTTACTGAAGACCGGTCGGCCCCATACATGTCCCCTCTCTGAAGCATATGGGCTACAGTGTAATATGCCATGTAGAGAGTCGAATCGGACAGGGACTCGACCAGAAACTCCTCGTCCCACGGAATACGTGTCCCAAGCCCGAAGCTTCTAGAACAAGCCCACTGGTTTAGCCAGCTCAAGGTGTGTTCGAATCCGTGACGGGTCTCGTCTGAGTAGAGATTCATCCCGGCCAAACATTCCACGGCCGCTTTTTTCCATTCTTGTTCTCCATAAGTGATGTACCACTGGTCTGTCAACGCCACGACACATTCGTCACCGGATCTCGACATGACTTTCTTCTCTGGCTCGCTGTAGACCACAGCTTGCTCCAGCTCCAAGAGCTTGCTCCGGATCAAACCCTTGGCCTCCTGAACTTTCATCCCGGTAAACTCACCCACAAGCATCGTACCCTCGTAAAAACCTCCCTTGTAGATTATCTTCTTGGCCTCGTCGAGCTTCTCCCTCTCGTTCTGGCTCTTGATCTTCTTCTCAATGCATACTCTCTCCGCCGACTTGTCCCCGAAATCGGGATGGTGAATGATTGGTATGATCTCAAACGGAAGGATCCACTCGTCTTTCACCCCGTATTTGGCTCTGAATGCTGGCTTTGCTTTCAAATCATGAAGAGCCATGTAATCATCGGGAGAGTCGCTCGGGACGCTAGTGACGATACCGGTGCCCTTGTCTGTGAGAACAGACAACATGGGAAGGGTGTAAATAACATCATTACAGGCCAATGGGGCTTTCAGAGGCAAACCGATGAGATCTTGACCGGTCAACTCTACCAGACAGGTGGGTTTCTCGGGCACGCGCGAGAGCTTTTGATAGGCCAAATTCAGAGCCGCCCGTCTCGTCAAGATGAAAACTTCCGTGTCGTTTATCTCAAAAGCCCCGTATTTTCCATCTGGCAAAACCCAACAATTGGTCTGGCCGTACATTGTCTCGGGTCTTAAAGTAGCAGCAGCAAGGTACACCTTTTTCCCTTCCAAAGCACTACTCATCTTTGGTGGGAAAGGCGAGATTACCTCCATTTTTATTAGGGTATACTCCTGCGGGATAACACCCTCACCCGAGGCACGGTCGTGGTCCGCGCACGGCTGCCCGTCCAGAGGAGAGTAAATGGTATACCTCAAATCCTTGACGATCTTTCCCATGTCTTTCAATTTTCTAACTTGCCACCTGACGAAAGAGTCGAAATAGGGGTTCATATCGGTGGTGATGAATGTACGCCTCCAGTCGCAGCCCAGCCCGAAGGCTTTCAGATCCTCCACGGCCAGAGGCGGGAAAAAGGTCAGCCAATGGTAAGGATTGGTGAACTTGGCAATCTCCTCATCAGACAATCCGTAACTCTGCATAATCTCCCACTGGTACTTGATTCCACCGGATTTGGCAACAACTTTAGATTTTTTCCCCTTGAATTTACCACCACCAGGATTTCCATCAGCCTCACCCTCGGTGGGTTTCCCTTCGTGCTCGCCAATTTCCTCCGCTGGAAAAACCGGAGGATTCCCAAATCTCTGGATTTCCCTTTTGAGCTTATCGGCCGAAGCCTTTATGGGCATTCCAGTACAGTGGAAGGCGAAAGGTAGAAGCACATTGGCTCCCCTCAATCTGTGGTAGGCGGCGGCAAATTCGAGCTTCGAAAGAGAAAAGGCGTGGCCCAAGTGCAGATATCCATTCATATAAGGAAATGGAAAGTTACCATAGAATTTCTCCCCTTGTTTAGGTTTTGCATCCTCCTTCGGTGGTTCGCCATGGAACACATCACCCTCCGACCACAGCTTTTGGACCTTGGACTCCATCTCCAAAAGCTTGTCTCTTCGAGCAAAGCTCCTTCCTGATTCTTCAGCCATATCAACTCCACAAAAACTCGATCTCAACCTGTGACAATGGGGGCGGAAGGCCAACCGTAGGAACTGATAAGCCACTGTGCACAACTAGGGTTTTTATTTTTTTGTTTAGTTATTTCACATAGTTTAGTTGTAAGGATGAAAATGTCACATAGTTGTAAGGATGAAAATGGTATTCCACATCTTGGAAATAAGACCGCTCGTACTTGTCCAGTTTTGCTACGGAGCAATCGGATGGCTCGGCTTATGGAGCAATCTACATTTATTCACCAATAGTGTACAATAAATACAATTTGAACAAGTGTCAATATATTAAGTAATGGATGACTCCATAAGAAAACAATCCGATTGCTCCATAGAATTTTTGCGCCGATCTATCTATAATTAAATAACAAAATAAAAGAGGAGTTAATGCATGATAAAATGTTTTACACATATTGAATTATTTAAAATATTATCATTATGTATTTGATAAAATATATAAGTAATAAAACAATATTTCATATAAAGATTATATTATTTACTAAAACACATATCAAATATTTACTAATATATTAACTAAGAATTTAAGATAAGTTTCAATTTATAATGTAAGTCATTGAAAATAATTTCCTTGTGCTAATTCTTGTTATTCCAACAATTTACCACATATATTTCTTCAATTATAAATAAAAATTTTTAATTGAAGATTTTTTTTTCTATTATAAATAAAAGTTGTTAAATGGAAATTTGGGTCTCTGTTTAACATTGGGTTATATACTTTAAGAAAAGCAAAGGATGACCTACCACAATTTATTTATGTATATGCTATATTGATGTGTTATTGATATTTTTATTTATCATTGTACTCATTTATATAGCAAAAGCTTGGAATGCATTTGAACAGAAATTAAGCAGATTATTGCATTTTGGTACATCACTGTTACAGGCATGAAAAAGCCATTGGAACAACATTTTTTGCTTTGGCATGGCAAACACCAAAATTGTAGAGTTTTCTTGCAACAATTCACTCTATTCCATTAATGCTAATAATTTGCAAAAGGCGACGAAACAATGTTTACGCATGCATAACTATTTGGAAACCAGAATTCTGAAACATCTAATCCCCGATATAGATGCAACATAATTCTGGTTTTGCGAGTAAAGGTTTAACGACATGCATGGCAGGTCGAATGAAGCATCAAAAGTTAGTCCAAAAGCAACAGGTCGGAGGTTTTTGCAAAAATGCATATATGAACCATCCAATATAACAGTATGCGAGTCATCGAATTTAAAAATATGCTGCACAGAGAACAATCAGTGAGCGAATCATATGTTGCAGAAACAATTTAGAAATATTTTGTGTCGATAAATACATAAGAAGAGTATCTGATAGTTTGACGACCAGAATATGATAAATTTGACCTCATGTAAACAGGAAGTCTAAAATATTCATTATAGTAAAGATACTATGCTTTGAAATTGGCCGCTGACAATGGGAAATATCTGAACATTTTCGAGCCTTGTACATAGCATCGTGCACCGCCATATTCTTCTATAAATATGTAATGTGTCGTATCTGAACATTTTCGAGCCTTGTACATGGCATTGTGCACCGCCATACTCTTCACAATTAACTTAGTAAAACTAAAACAATGGCATACTGCTTTAAAAACAAGAGCAATAGAAACCACCAACAATTGACAAAATATACAGTCCCACAATATACATTTTCAGGTGCAACTTCACACCATTAAACCTGGAATTACACCCAATACATGCTAAAAATTCTTGGCTCCAAACTAAAAGGGGATTAAAAAAAAATGAAAACTTGAATAACTAAAACAATAATTAAGACAGTAACTCAACACCCAAACCCCCACCAATAATCCATATACATACCACAACAAAAGGATGGTAAAACTCACAACCAAGAGTTTTGGAAAGAAAAAAAAAAAAGCATAAAAGAAGAGGAAGAAGAAGACAAATTCAAGCAAACCAATGATCCAAGGCCACCACCTAACAGGCTTATCAGGAGCTGCGTTTAGGATGAAACTGGGAAACACATAATTAAAGCAGGGACCAACTAACCTAACCGGCTGCTACTCGAGCGAATGACATTTCGCCACCACAGTTGTCCCATGACGCTCGTTCTTTGCCACATTCGTCGGAGCTAAGCTCGATTCTGTCAAAACCTGCTCATATGCCGCTGTGTCTACAAGAGTACAAGTGCAGTGTGGGTAAATAGATAAAATTTTTACACAATGAAAATGGTCAAGACGCTCATTGGAAAATTAGTAACATAAAATCAGCATTGGTCAAACACTTGTCATAGCAACAAGCACCTTTACATTTCGAGTAAAGAACTGAAATGAATCAAAAGATGATGGTTTAACGAGGCGTCTGACCCAAAAGACATGTTCAATCCAAAACATCAAAAGTCGAGATATGTCACAAGTGTTTTTTGACATGAAATCTTAACCAAGGCACTAAATGTAGGCAAAAGAAAAAAGCCAACAGTCGGATTACAATCTAGTGGACTCCATATCAACTTTAATGATAGGGCTGCAAATACGCTCAAGCTCCCTCATCTTATGGTTGAGCTCATCCACACCGGTCTGCATCCAATTCTCGCCCACCCACTCAATAACCGACATTGCCGCATCCTCCACCATCCTCCTGTTGGCCGCCGTCAGCCAGGCTGCAGCCCTGGCCGTGTTCCTCACGTTATAAGCATAATCCTCGAGGTTGTTCCTGGCCTTGGCCCTCCTCTTAAACTGTTGGTCCTCCGCCCTGTACCTCGCGGCATCCCACACTATCCTATCAATCTCCTCTTTCGACAGCCTCCCTTCTTCGTTGGTTATAGTGATCCCGCTCGTCCTTCCAGTTGACCTCTCCTTGGCCGTCACACTCAGTATCCCGTTGGCGTCGATTTCAAAGCACACGTCCAGATTTTGCACGCTCCTCGGGGCAGGTGGGACTCCCTCTAAAGTGAACTTCCCGAGCAGATTGTTGTCTGTTGACCTCGCCCGTTCGCCCTCATAGACCAAGAACCTAACAGAAGTCTGGTTATCTTCAGATGTGTAGAATGTTTGCACCTTCTGAGTGGGGACAGTCGTGTTCCGTGGGACCACAACAGACATGACATCCCTGTTAGCTTCTATTCCGAGGGAGAGAGGGGTCACGTCAAGGAGGACGAGGCCCCGCACCTTGTTGTCCCCTATGCCACTTAGGACGGCCGCCTGCACAGCAGCCCCGTACGCAACAGCCTCATCCGGGTTAATGCTCCTGCACAGCTCCTTTCCCTCGAAGATAAACTCAAGCATCTTCTGAACTTTGGGAATCCTGGTCGAGCCTCCAACCAGAACGACATCATGGATGGCAGTCTTATCCACCCTGGCATCTCTCAGGCAGCTCTCAACGGGCTCGACACACTTTTCAAACAGGTCCATGTTGAGATCCTCGAATTTAGCACGTGTAATGCTAGAGTGGAAATCAATGCCCTCGTGCAGACACTCAATGTCCACGTTGGTCAGAGTGTTGGTCGAGAGAATCCTCTTTGCCCTCTCTCCGGCCGTCCTCAGCCTCCGTATGGCTCGTGGATTTTCGGAGAGGTCCTTCCTGTACTTGCGTTTGAACTCGGCGGCGAAGTGAGAAACAATGCGGTTGTCGAAATCCTCCCCGCCAAGGTGGGTATCGCCGGCGGTGGCCCTCACCTCGAAGGTACCCTTGTTGATTGTGAGGAGGGAGACGTCGCAGGTGCCACCACCTAAGTCGAAGATGAACACGTTCTTCTTCTCTCCCTTGTAGTTGAGGCCATAGGCAATGGCGGCGGCAGTGGGCTCGTTGATGATGCGGATGACATTGAGCCCGGCAATGGCACCAGCATCCTTGGTGGCCTGTCTCTGAGAGTTGCTAAAGTAAGCGGGCACGGTGATGACGGCATCCCGGACAGTCGTGGGGCCCAGATAGGAGTCTGCAATGGCGGCCATCTTGGTGAGTACCATCGACGATATCTCCTCAGGGGAGAACCGCTTCTCCTCACCCTTATGGGAGACCACGATCATGGGCTTGTTAGTGGGGCCAGCGACAACCTTGAACGGCCACAGCTTTATGTCGGTTTGGACAGAGGTGTCGGTGTATCGTCTCCCGATCAGCCGCTTGGCATCTGCATCACCCAAGTAGGTTTGTTCTTAATAGGATCTAATACCAATATCAACACCTGACATATACCAAGTAGCTAACCCTACTCTGCAACTGAAATTAAATATAACACTACGAAATTACACAACCAAGTTAACCGTAAAAATTATCCTGAGATGAAACGATAAACTGAACACCGGATATAATCACCAAAATCTCTGAGTGGAAAAGAAAACGCAGAGAAAAATTAGAGAAGAAAGCAGCTCACCAAAAACGGTGTTTGAGGGATTCACGCCGGCCTGATTCTTGGCGGCTTCGCCGATGAAACGCTCGCCGTCGGCGAAAGCGACATATGAAGGCGTCGTGCGATTTCCTTGATCATTGGCTATGATCTCGACGCGCTCGTGCTGCCACACGCCAACGCATGAGTAAGTGGTTCCCAAATCGATCCCGATTGCAGGCCCCTTGCCTTTTCCGGCCATTACTGAAAGAAGACTTAGAATCAACGGGTAATCAACTCTGGCGTCTTGGATGTACTGAAGACCTGAAGTGTACGTTGAGAGTGACTTAGAGCATCTACGATGCATTGGGTCTAGTCTTGTCTATGTGGCATGTAAATAAACCCAAGTCTTTGATGACATGGATACAATTATGTAAAATTGTTAAAATTCACTCAAATGCAAAGAGACTAGGTCTCTACTTGGGTCAAAAACAGACTTAAAGATAGACTGGGTCTCTTTTTTGGGCTGCCACGTCATTAGGTGGCATATAATTTTTGTAATAAAACGCAAAGCATTGTGGATAGGGTGTCTCCAATGGTTAGCTATTTGGCTAGCTATTATGACGTGGACAGGGGAAAAGTAAGAGAGAGAGTAGTCACTCGCTACTAACAAATAGCTTATCTATTTCACGTAGCCCAATATTATGTGAGAGGAGTATGTGGGTCCAATAGTGTAAAATAGTTATTTTTCTTATCTCTCACATCCATGTCAGCTGACTATATAGCTAGTAATAGCTATTACCATTGGAGATGCCTTAGTGTCTTTTCAAAGACTTTATCGAGATGGAGAATTCAAAAATTACCCTCGAGATGGAGCACAAAAGTGTTAAAAGTGTCCAATCTATCATGTAGACAAAATAATAATTATAATATTTTCTTGCACTTTTTATTGTGAAAAGACAAAATTTGTTACATATTATATTAATTGAATACTAATTATATTTATTTATTGTACCATATGATATATGAAAGTTATATAAACATAAAAAATATATCGTAAATTTTTTTTGTTCCAATATTTATTATAAAATCAATCATATATATTTTTATTTGACTGAGCGATTGTTATTTAAATTGATTAATTTATCTTAATATCATAGTAAAATTTCTAAACCACATAAGCAATTGTTATAATAAGTTTAATATTTTTCGGCTAATTAATTGATAATCCCACAAACTAACTTATTTGACTTAAACTTGGACTGACTCGACTCGGACGAAAGCTTAAGTTCCGGCTTGTTCGGAACTCGAACAAGAAATTTATCAACAGCTCAGGCTTGCTCGGATCGGTCCGGCTGAACCGGCGGTTCACTAGTGAACCGGGTGGCTTGGTGCAGCCCGGCTTGGTCGCGCGGGGTCAGGCTGGTGCTGCTGTTGAGAATGCACACACTTGTTGTCGTTTCAGATGCGATCAAAAAGCTTTTTTTTTTTCAAACTACGAGACTACATATGAGGAAAAAAAGCACGTACGCGTGTCGACCCGCTGGGCGCAGCCTCACCGGCACACGGGGTTCTAGCAAGACGGACCACTACTGGCGCAGGGGCGCGCGGGTGCGGGGCAGGATCCGGGACTCGCGCGCCTCATTATTTTCCGATATTTTGACTTATATAGTAATATTTATGACAGGACATTACCATTTCAACTTTAAAATTTTAATTTTGATTTGAAACTATTTTATTAGTTTTAATACATTTATGAAAATAAGCCGATATGTATATATACAAATTTTAAAATAAAACTTTCTATTACACAATTAATACTAACTCGGTGATTATTCATAGTGAGATATGTATTTTTTAGATTATAATCTTTAATTTATAAAATTTATTAAATAAAATTTAGTTTTGTTAAAATGTGCCATTTAAAAGGCACAAGTATTGTGTTTTAGACTAGTTATTAAACATATTTAAATGACATTCAACATTTTAAATTAAAAAATAGAAATTAAAGGGTTAATTGCATCTAAAATCAATTGCAAATAAAACTCAATTTTTTTAATTTGAAAAAAAAAAACCCAACCATTAATAAGTATTGCAATTTTGTCTCAAAATCAATTTCCGTTCGCGCATCACCTTCCGCTGCGCCGAACCGTCGCCAACCGCCACCTGTTGCCGGCCAACTTCGCCGAATGTTGAAAATTTTTACATGATCATGTAGTTCGCCTCCGTGCCGACAACATATCCGAGTTTCACAAAAAAATTCCTAACAATAAGGTTTCCAATTTCTTGTCAAAACTCGTAGATCTACAAACTTTCTTCGGCGTTCTTTCGCAAATTTTTCGAGGACTCGCTTTGACCTATGTGAATCCGAAGGTACCGTTGAAAACCTCTCGCAAAGCCGCATCTAGTGACGTCTACCTTTGCCGGAATCGGTGACTTTTTCCGACGACGACTTTTCCGGTCATCTTCTTTGCAAATTTGCGGCGGACCCCCACGACGTTCTCTCCCCGACGCCGACCTCCACGACGTTCTCTCTTCGGCGAGCTTCCTCCAGCCGCGAGCTCGACTTCCAGCGACTTCTTTCACTAGGCTTCCCCTCTATGACAGTCGCCCCGAGCTCGTTTTTTCGAAGTGCATTGGCCGGAAACTGATTTTGAGACTCAATTGCAATACTTATTAAAGACTTGGTTTTTTTGTCAAATTGAGAAATTTAAATTTTATTTGCAATTAAACAAAAAGTTAAAATTTTAAATGCAATTACAAATTATAAATTATATGTTTCAATTTGAATTATAAATGGGTAAAGTCCACTTTTGGTCCTCCATGTTTAGGGGGTATCCAGACTGAGTCCCTATTATTTTTTGTTGCCCAATTTTAGTTCTTAAAACAAAAAAATGTAGTCCCTATTATGTTTTGTTGCCCAATTTTAGTCCTTAAAACAAAAAATGTAGTCCCTATTATGTTTTCGTGTCCAATCTTAGTCCTTAAAACAAATAAATATAGTCCCTATTATGTTTGGGTGCCCAATTTTAGTCCTAAAAATAAAAAAAATGTAGTCCATATTATGTTTTGGTGCCCAATTTTAGTCCTAAAAACCAAAAAATGTTTATTTGTTTTAAGGACTAAGATTGGGCACCCAAACATAATAGGGACTATATTTATTTGTTTTAAGGACTAAGATTGGGCACGAATGTAAGAAATTTAACGGGTATATCCATAATTATTAGGCGGAATTGAATAAACCCTAAGCATGTAATTCTATCAATTCATAGAACATGGATCTTTGCATAAATTAAATTGC